AAACGAGATGATTCTCCAATTTTCCGTCAACGTTCGATATTATATAAGCAAGAATTTACATGAAAGAATTGCCGTTGTCGTTGCTGCTGTTGTGACCGTAGTAACTGTTGTAACTGTTGTTTTCACTGATTCTATTAAACTAATAATAAAGAGATATTTAAATTAGTTTAACAATCAGAAACAGGAAAGTTGACGAGAAAATTTTAGTAAATTTTGAAACATAAATATTCAGTTCACAATTATAGTTTTCATACTGGTAAAACTCCGAAGCGTTAGAGAGCTTTTCAGTTTTATTTCGAACTAGTAGAACTTTTCAATCGATTATTGAGCTTTCATGAGGCAAGTCTGCATATTCTTGTAAATTCTTCTGAAATATTCATTTTTGATTGTAATACGCTGGTCATTCAGTTATCAGATTCTATCGAAGGCATTGCAAGATTTCTTGGTCTCTGGATCTTGTTTGCAGTTTTTTTTATCAAGCAACATAACGATGAGCTGAAATACTACTTTTTTTCTCGCACAGCCTCTCAAAAATAAAAAAAACACTTAGAATGTTATTTGTACTGTTGTCTGTAAGAACTGAAGGACGACAATATCTCACTGCTTGAATGATTGATCGAGAATTGATAAATAATATCAACTACAACTCTAGTCAATACAATAATTTCATTCTTTCATCACATTTCAGTTCTCTAGCATTATTGCATGAGTTTCCAATGTTTATAAATCATTTCAACGCAATTCAGCATCTTAGTATGTTTCGGTGCTTAAGGAGATGGTAATATGCTATAATTTGATCATTGAGTGAACACACTATCATGTATTTTATTGTATCGAAAGTAACATACCTGTAGTATTGATGACTATCACCGTAGATGGGATGGTGCTTCTAGTCAAAATGATAGGCACAGAAATAGTCGTAGCAATAGCACATGCTGCAATAATAATCGCAAGAACGACTAAGACGACACGTCTAAATGTTAAAGAATCCAATGATTTAAGATAATAAAATAGTAAGCGATACGAACCTTTTATTGATGCTGTTCGAATGTGTCGACATTTGTGTTACGTCTTCAGACATATTTCAATGATTCTGCTCTTTTCAAAAATGACTTATAGTCACTTGACAATGCAATATTTAAGTCAGAAAATATAGAAAATTATTGCCTACATAAATTCTTTTAGATGTTTGCTCAAGCTTGTGCGTCAATACGTTTCCTGACTTTTTGAGAATCTTATTCACAGGCGAGTGTTCAAATGCTTCGGTGACACTTGTGCGCATATTAAATTATGCATGCGCTGAGAGGATTTTGATTGATCAATTGCAGTAAACACGTCATCTATCATATCCTGACATCAAATATTGCGCGAAGAAAAGTGTTTTTTCTTAATTTGTCCCTTTTCAAGCAATAAAGCTCATAAATTTTGATTCAACACAAGGATTAACTCTCCATACAGTTTCTTGCACATTTTATAAAATAATATGCTGATTGTTTTGGATGTGGATATAAGTCAATGTGAAAAAGAAAACATTTATACTCGTATACATATATTAGCATAATTAATCGATAGTTTCTATTAATTTCTTCTACTTTAGATTATTATCTATGTTCTTTAAACATGTCTATGGGGTATGCTTTATGTTTGGCAATGATTTTTATCTAGCAAAAATTTTCATAAAGAATTAGAGTAGTACGCAATGGACAATTGATCTGTTGTTACTGAGAGAAAAAAACTCATTTAACTAAGATAATATAATGATGACATAGATATCTTTATATTGCCCCTAGAAAATAGAAACATTATTTATAGATTATGAAAAAAAAAAGATTATCGAATCCATCTCTATTGGACTATTTACAGATATGAATCGATGAATATCGATTGCACATAATAAATATTCTTTTATGATTGATGGGGAGCTGTATTTTCTATATTGAGATTTTTTTTATTAGTAGAAGAATAGTCAATATGAAATATTTTTAATAAAAAAAAACCTGATTTCAGAAATGTAGTTCTTCTTCACTTCCACACAAACTTTAATCTACACACATGATGATTCAATCACAGAGAAAAGCTTGGCTATATATTGATATTCACCTATTGAATTTATAGAAAAAATTGTATGCATGATGGAGAAATTTAAAATAATCTACTGCTTAATCAGATGTAATTCTTCATAAATAAATACAATAATTCACTAAAGATTTGTATTTGTACTCGCATTTGACGATCTTGTTATTGAATAGATCATTAATTAGTTTCTGAACATTTCTGGATTATTTCTTTGTGATTCTCATCAAAATTTTTTGGCCACTTTATTTCTCAACATTAAGACCAATTCTATTTTAAGATTAATTGTCGTTTCTTCAAAAAGAAATGCAGAAAGGATGTGGATATTAATTTAATGAAAACAGCCAAGTGCATACCTACACACACTCTATCTTTTCTGCACTTTATAAGTTTTATTGTTTACATTCAAGTTTTGATGTGTTAAAGTAACTTTGTAAAAATTCAGAAATGGTGACTATTTGTTAGTTTCAAATATTGATAAAATTAAAGAAAAAAGATGATATATTACGAAAGAAATGAAATTAAAAATTTCATTATTGTTTATTTATTGAAATGAATTTTGCTTATTATTCTGACGTGTATCCTTCAAAACGAGAAAAACTCTTAAATACATTGAGGAAGGTTATTTGAAATTTTTCAATTTAATTATTTAATTAATTCTCTTCCTGTTAAAGGTGTTATATTAATATGATTATAATTTAATTTTTGATATTAATTATATTTGGGTCAAAATTATTATTTTTAATGTTTTATTCTGTATGGTAAATAAATTAAAATTTGAGTTTTTAATAATGAGATAAAATATAATAAAGAAATAAAGAGATAATAATAAAATGCATAATTATTAAAAACGTTTTGGAGAAATCTTTCTCCTTCTTTAGTTCATTTTATTTTTGGTGTTATGCTGTTTTATTATTTACCTATCTGTCTATTCTTTTTTTTTTCTTTTTCTATTTTCTATACCAATGGAACGGATGATGAGATCACATAAAGTTTTATCAACCAATATCACCGTCTTGTTTTACGTTCCACTATTATAGAAAACAGAACAAGGAAAAAAAAAGAATAGACGGATAGGTAAATAACAAAAAAAGTATAACACCAAAAGTAACATGAACCGAAGGAGAAAGATTTCTCCGAAACGTTTTCAATAATTATACATTTTATTATTATCTCTTTATTTTTTTTTATAATATTTTATCTTATTATTAAAAAAATCAAATTTTAATTTATTTGTCATATAGAATAAAAATAATAATTTTGGCCCAGATATAATTGATATCAAAAAATAAATTATAATCATATTAATATAACACCTTTAACAGAAAGTGAATTGATTAAATAATTAAACTGAAACAGAGAAAAATTCTTTATATATATTTCATTTTGAAATAGTTCTTCAACACTTTAATGGAAATTTTTTGAAATTGAAATAAATTCTCGAAATCCCAAAATTCGTATTTATTAATATGTTTAATCAATACTTGCACAATGAACTATTTGATTTCAGTTTTAGAGTATCATTTTTCACAAATGGATTTTATGTGACAAAATATAATGAAAAATCATTGACATACGATCGAAAATTTAGATAGATACGATACTCCAAAGTTTACTATGAATTGTGTTCAATTAGAAGAAAAGAAAATCTTCTTGTAAAACACGACCTGAAAGGAGTGTTGAAGTGTTTAGGGGTAGAAATTTGCACCCTCCCTTCCACAGGCCGTGACAGATAGGGTTCTCATCTGATTAGGGGTGCACCAAATTCTAATCCAGTCAAACCCAAATCCTGGATTTGACAGGATTTGACTAGATTCGGATTTGACTTAGATTTGGATCAGAGTTGCCACCTCTTCTGCTTTTTGAAGTTTTTTCTGTTTCTTTTTCTGTTGTTTCTGCTTTTTCAAGATTTTTCCTCTTTTTTTGATACGGCGTTATTTATTATTTCAATCAGCATTTTTCACCTGAAATACCTTCGTTTCCATAATTATTTAAACAACCGTATAAAAAACTACTGATATTTTTGTGTCATTCTAATTCTTTCTATTTGATACAGATGATTTTTGTTTTCTACTGACTACAAACAACTACCAATCTATATATTTGGCTTTAAATCAATTCTTTACCTATGGTTTTCTATCGTATTTTAATTACTCATGTAATTGATATACATTAACACATACATTCTTTCGTTTGTTTACTCAATGAACATGAATAATTAATATGATTAGTGAGAGGAAAGGAACAGAAAAAATAGCTCTAGATAATAATAACAGCTCGACTAGCGAAGAAGGTATTCACAAAGCAGTGGTAATTACTGAAGTAATAATTATGTCATCAGGAGCTAAACCAGAAAACAGAAATTGCATAGAGTTATCTTCAATAGAGAATGGTTCAAAGTCGTCGAATATTAATGATCTTTGAGTGGGTGTGGGTGTGACTATGGATCTGATTGATACCCACACCTACACCCACACCCTCACCCTCATCAAAGGTAAGGAATATTGAAAATTTTCTAAGAGGGCATTACATGATATATTTTTGAAACTCATCAAACTCATTCTCTACATCAATGGGTGTCAGTGAATATAATCGAATGAATTGTTCAATACGAAACTAAGAAAGAAATAAATTAATTTGATTGCTTGAATGTATTGCATTTGAAACCGTAAGTGAAGTAACATTTTTAGAGATTGATAATACGTGCCATAAGAGATAGATCAGATCTGAACATATAACTGAAATCCAACTTATAACGATCATAGATGTTGGCAATTGAATAGAGCTGTTTACATACACAACGGATAACAAAAACAATTGTCTCTGTATCAATATGATCGAAAATTCGATGGATGAGCTCGATGGGTAATGTTAGAAGATACGATTTTATTTTTCGTAGACATGATTAGTAGTATTGAGAATTTACCAGTGTAATGTTGCGTTTTTCAACTATAGATGACGATTGCGCACACGTATCGAATGTAAAATAGTAGTAGCATGTTATATAGACGAATGTGTAGAACAGAAAAAAACCAAATACATGGATATTTATTTAACGAAATGTCAAGAAATGTAATTATTATTCATTGATTCACCTTGTGACTGTTTCAAAATGATAATGAAATAACATGTTTCTCTGAATGATGACAAAATGAATGTTAAACTTTTTTCGATAATAGTAATTTCAAAATGATTGTAATTGAAATAAAATGTATTTGATTTTATTGACGATGGGTCTGAGTGTCAGTACAAATTTTGTTGAGAGGTGTAGGTGTGGGTGTATCAGTCTTATATCCACTCACACACACATCCACCACATCCATAAGCTACGCGATTGTCACACCATCCTTTGCATAAGGTGGTTCTGATGAAAATGTAAGGCATTTATTGACATGATTTTCACGATATCTTATGGTTTTTTTGCATAAAAAAACGATGGGAATTTTGAAACAATTTTAACACTATTAAAGTCATGCTTTTCATGTACTTTTAATGAGTATCAGAGGATGAAAATAATGTAGAATTCATCATTTTCATGAATAAAAAGTTTAAAACTTCTCAATGGCTTTGAAAAACATGCGTTTTTTCCATATGATGCCTTGTATGACTTTCCACACCAGATGACTTTCTGGAAATACAAAATGAATTTACAGAAGCACACATTGCCTTTTCGCACTGGATGAGTTTCCACAAAAATACACTTCCGCTTTCCTAACACAAAAAACATCTTCTCAAGAAAAACCGACTTCCGAAAACACAAAGGTGAAACCACGAAAATGTACAATGAGGTTTCCAAAGCAACGCTGTCGAGTGTGGATATGGATGTCGGTGCGGGTGCGCCAAGATACTGGTGGCGCCAAACGACTAACACATGTTTGCCAAGCTGTGCATGCCACGAAAGGACTCATATGTCTCCGCTCACGTCTTACCGCCACGAAAGAACTGGCAACGGAAGGACGGGCACCGAAAGAAGTGGCCGCGAAAGGACTAGCTGCGAAACGACTGGCAATAATAGCACACATAATATATCCCACCAGCTGTCGGTGCCCCGAAAGAATTGGCTGCGAAAGACCAGGCGGTGGAAGGACTGACAAGAATACGACACATATCACATTGCACCTGAGAGTGTGTGTGCCGCGAAAGGACTGGCCGCGGAAGGACTTGCAAGAAAAGGGCACATATCGCATCGCACCTGCTGTGGGTGCCGCGAAAGGACTGGCCGCGAAGGATTGGCCACGGAAAGACTGGCAAAAATAGGATACATTTCATATCGCACCTGTTGTAGGTGCCGCGGAAGGACTGGCAAAAATAGGACGCATATCGTATCGCACTTGCTGTGGGTACCGAGAAAGTACTGACCGCGAACAACTGAGAAGAATACGATGTATTTCACATCGCATCTGCTGTAGGTGCCGCAAAAGAACTGGCAAGAATATGACACATATCACATCACCTGCTGTGGATGCTGTGAAAGGACTGCCCGTGAAGGACTTGCAAGAATACGAGTCATATCATATCAGACCTGCTGTGGATGTCGCGAACGGACTGCCCACTCGAGAAGTGGCACGAATACGACACATTTCACATCATTCCTACTCTGGGTGCCCCGAAAGGGCGGACCGGTAAGAGCTGATTGTGAATGAATGGGCCACGAGATAAATGGGCGCGAATTGGTTGGCTAGGGTAGGATACACATTAGGCCGGAGGTACAGTGGCTTTTGGGGTTGGAGTGACTCCTGAGCAACTCAAAAGATTGTAGATGATCTGGGTGTGGCGTGTGGTAGATTCTTTTTGGAAGATTTGGAAAGAGTTTCCTGAAAATCCAGTTCATGTACATTATGCCCATTATGCATTATCAGAATCGCCATTTTTTTGTTTTTCCGATCGTCATTTCTCTGAAGGAACAATTTCAATAAGATGATGTAAAATATATGAGTTTTTTGCATGTTTTTACTCAGTTGATATTCTTTGAATATTAAAACAAGTTGACATCTTCTCGTGACAAAGATTACATGATTGATAATTCAAAGAAAAAGAGTTTGATGAATGGATTTCATGACATAACTTCTTATGACTTACAGAATCATAGAACGTAGAAACACAAGAAGTCAATAATAATGGGTATGACTTTGATTTCAGCTTTTGTCAAGGGAGATGAAGATCTATAGCTTGAATGATAGGACTTATTTTTAAAAAAATGTACAGTATTTATTTTTGAATATCTTTCAAAAATAGAAAACTTTGTTTTAACAATAAACTTTACACTTTCATTCGAATAGTGGAATAAATTACGAAATAAACATATTTTTAAAATCCATGAGCACTTTTTAGCAAGATCGGATTATTGTAAAGAGAAAATAAAAGAAAAAAGAAATCTTGGCATTACTAGCAAGTAATAAAAACAAGAACATTGACAAGAGTTGATTTTATTAGCTAATATATTGGTTAAGATAACAAAACATACATTATCAACGAGAAGAAAAGAAAAAGAAAAAAGAAGAAGGAAAACAAGCACGTCAGAAATAGAAGAAATGAACATTTTACATATATATGAATGTTATATTGTCATAAAGCTACTTTTAAAAAATAAAATCGAGCCGAGCTATACCAGAACTAATTTTCAAAAGGTGAGTCAAGCACAGTCAAACCTCTAATGCAAAATTAATTGATTGAACTATAATGCATTATTTGCAAACATAACGCATTAAAATTCGTGAAATAGTTTGCATTGCAGACATGATAACCGAATCTGAATTGAATTTTTGAGAAAGTACGTCTAGTTGAATAGAATCGAATCTGAATGAAGGTTTTCTTATTGTATTGAGTTTCTATTGCATTATCATGTAATTGCATCTATTATTTCCATAGCGACTACATAGATAGTCTTTTAAACAAGATAGATGTCGAAAGTGTCTTCGAAATTGCTTGCCAAAAAATCTAAGGAATATGAACAACACTCTGATTCTACCATAACCATTTTTATACCATCCTTATCCTACCCTACCCTACTCTACAGGGCAGGGTAGGTTAGGGTTACTCTGCAGGACTCTGACCAATAGAAGTTGAAGGAAGCCAGTATTGGGCTCTGGACACATATATCAGACTATTATGTGCTTATACTGTAAACTGAAATAGAGTAGTATAGATTTGTATGGACTGGGTCCGTGTTGGACAGTTACGAGTAAGAAATGGTTACTGATAAGATCCGTTACCGACACTGTTGCATATCTAATATTGACGTTCCTTCACAGAACACGGTCGATACCTATTGGTGTCGATCGATTTAGAAATGAACGCTCATAATGCCTAAAGTTGTCGCTCTTCGTTAGGGACCCATGGGTCCTTCCAGACCTGGATCTAACCTAGGCCCGACCGACTTCGGGTCCAGAAATTTAGCTTCTGTCGGATCCAGATCCGAATCCGTATCCAGTTTTAACTTCAGACGAGAATACATCCTATTCCGCGATGTTGAACATTGCGGAATCAGTTCCGCCCCCGGAATCACTTCCGTGGGATTTCGGGAACTCGAACATCATTCGACAAATTCGACCTATTCCACAAGGATCGAGTTCCTTCAATTCGAGGAATTCCGGGAATTGAGTCCACTCTAAACTAGTCGTGATTCCTAGCAATTCCGTCTGATTCCGTACCAATCTAACTTCAGCAATTCCGGAATTTCAGGAACTGATTCCGGTCGGGAAAAAGTTCCTGGAATTCCGCTTCAACCTAATTCCCGGAATTCCGCCACGGAATTACGTTCTCTCTCACCCTCATGTTGTTCTGTATGATTATAGATTAATCGCTGAGATAAGTCAGCGATTCCGGTACGGAATTCCGAGAAGTAGGTCGAAGCGGAATCGGAGAGAATTCTCGGAACTGATTCCGGCCGGGAACCAGTTCCCGCAATTCCGAAATTCTTAGGAATTCCCGGGAATTATGGAATTTCGTCTAATTCCGCTTCGACCTAATTCCCGGAATTCCGTCACGAAATTACGTTCTCCCTCACCCTCATGTTGTGCTGTATCATTATAGATTAATCGCTGAAATAAGTCAGCAATTCCGGGACAGAATTACGTTCTCCCTCACCCTCATGTTGTGCTGTATGATTATGGATTAATCACTGAAATATGTCAGAAATTTCGGGAATTAGGTTGAAGCGGAATCGGATGGAATTCCTAGAAATTTCCGGAATTCCTGGAACTGATTCCGGTCGGGAACCAGTTCCGGGAATTCCGGAATAATTAGGAATTCCGTGAGTTGAGGGAACGCGATCGTTGTCGAATAGGTCCTATTGGTTGAATAATTTTCGAGTTCTCGGAATTGCATGGAACTGATACCGGGGGCGGAATTGATTCCGCAATGTGCAACATCGCGGAATAGGATGACTACTCCTTCAGACCCGATTTGCATGAGCAGTCATCCTATCCCGCCATTTTGCACATTGCGGAATCAATTCCATCCCCGGAATTAGTTACATCCGATTCCTAGAATTCCGGAATTATCGAACTAACTCGGCTTATTCGATAACGATCGAATTCCCTTAATTTCAGAAATTCCGACCGATTCCCGAATTCCATTTAATTCCGGAATTCCGTCCAGTTCCGGAATTCTGTCTTATCCACACCTTCAGCTTGCCCTGTATATTTAAAGATGAATATCAGAAATACGTGAACGGTTCTCGAACAGAATTTCGGCAATTAGATCGAAGCGAAATTAGACAGAATCAGACGGATTTTCTATTAATTTCAAGTAATTCCGTCCGATTCCGGAATTCCTTCTCACTCTCACCCTTAGCTTGCCTTGTGTAGTTAAAGATAAGTATCTAAAATAAGTGAGCGATCCCGAACGGAATTTTGGGAATTAGATTGAAGCGGAATTAGACGGAATTCCCAGCAATTCCGTCCGATTTCATCTAATTCTGCTTCGATCTAATTCCCGGAATTCCGTTCAAGAATCGCTCACTTATTTCAGATGTTTATCTTTAACTACACAAGATAAGCTGAAGGTGAGGATGAGACGAAATTCCGAAATCGGTCGGAATTCTGGCAATTCCGGAAATTAAGAGAACTCGATCGTTCTGAAATAAGTCGATTCAGTTCGATGATGCCGGAATTCCGGAATCGGATAAAATTGAGTCCGCAATGTGCAACACCGCGGAATACGATGTATTCTCATTTGCATTCAGCTTCGAATCTGAATAGAACTATGTAAGGAATGACAAAAAGAAGTAACTTTATATTAGCTTTTTTCTGACTGTAACCAATAAATAGCTACAATCTCGATCCTTTATTTGGTCATGCACACAAAAAGTGCCAAATATTAGTGGAAAAAAGCTCGGATCCACCCATACATAAATAAAACTACTCGAATCAAACCAAACTTGATCTTATTTCTCAAAGGTAAAGACGAGCCCAATCGATCCGAACTCATACCAGCGAAACCTAGTTTGATTCAGTCTCTATAAATGGCTTCCTTCTTCAATATTCGAGAGTTCTTCACTTAGAAAAAAGTAAATGATAAAACACTAACTTTTCTACTTGGTGCATTTATTTTTATCGTGTTTGCTCTTGGACGACTATCGAGCAGAAGGATGTCAATTTTTCTTTCAATCTATGAATCGTGAGTCTAACTTTGTTGCAATAGAATTCACATATGCCTTAGAATTTCAGACAACGAACAGGAATGTAACATTTATTCTTTGAGTCTTCGTTTATAATAAATGGAAAAAGTCATTTTATTGACCAATGTGTTCTGTGTCTAGCAGTGTTAATAATTACCGGTTTTCATTTAGATCATGAAAGAATGCTGATTATGTACGTGATCATACTTCTAGCTCTGCATAATGCAGTGCATACTGAATATTCATTATATTATTCCGATATTCGTCAGAGTTCATATCTGACATTTGATTGTTTGTACACTCAACATATCGACAGTGAATCGAATGAAGGTTTTTCCTACCTTATAAACAAGCAGTTGACTCCCTATTGTCGACGACCTGATAATGATGAAAAAGAAGAAGAATTATCTGATATATTGGGTGAAAATATAGCAAACAAGATTAGTTTTAATGAATTAAGGAAACAAGGTATAACAAGTGAACAACTTCTTAATTGGTCAGCACCCATCGATCTTGCTGAACGGTATGAAATGAATAATCAAAGTTCAGAATTATTCTATAATTGTTCATCGCCGTGGTTTGGATCGAAATGTCAATATCGATTTATTTACAATTCATCTTGGTCATTTAATAAAATAGTTGAATCTTCTGCGAAAAATCAATTCTATGGGAGGTCTGGTGTAACTGTTACCACATGTTATCCATTTTTTGTTGGTTGTCGTCGTGGACCATGGGATTTATGTCTCGACTGGCGACAAATATGTAATGGCATAGTTGATTGTAAGAATGGCGAAGACGAGCAATGGTGTGAAACATTAGAAATAACAACTTGTGCTGATGATGAATATCGATGTCATTATGGTGGTCAATGTATTCCACTGATATTTGCACGAGATAATTACTTAATTCCGGACTGTCTCGATGGTAGTGAAGACAAAGAACTGTACACCAACGCGTACTCAGCTTTTACACATTCTTTTTGTGGCTCAATTAGAACATTTCAATGTGAAGAACGTATTAATCGATATCCTCGTTCTTTCCCGTGTGGTGATGGTAGTTTTTTGATGGAGACTGGTTTGACAGATACATCAGTCCTTTGTTCCAATCGAAGGGATACACAAGTGTTTTTAACAATGTGGACTTCATTCGATCACATTAAAAATATTACATGTCAACAAGCATTTCGTTGTTCAACAATTCTCATTCTAGATTATTGTAAGTAAGAATAATTGTATATTAATTTAATTACTGAAAAAACTCAAGTGTTCTTTTTGTTGTTCAAATAGTAGTATACAATGGCTGAAATCTTGAAATATAAATTAGAATGTTTTAGTCTCCGACTTTCAAAAGGAATTTTTCTAGCCTTTGAAAATTCCGTACGAGCTTGAGAGTTTTTAATGATACCATGTAATGATGTTGAATTCATATCTAGACATTAAACATTGTTTGGCGGTCAGATTCTCTCTATATTCGCTCTCTTCGTAATGTCTCTCTTATACAATTAGCTGAAATTGAACAGTTTTGATCGACTTTATTTTAACTTCTTATTACATTCCTTTTTTGTGTACTCAAAAAGTGAGTACACTCTAGAATCGGTCAGTGTGTCCGGCCGTCCGTCCGTTTACACGATATCTTTCGAAAGGAGAGTCCGATCGCGATGAAATTTTCTACATAGTTCAGTCTTTACAATATCTCGGTCGAGTTCGAAGATGAGAAGGATCGGCCGAGCCGTTCCTGAGTTATTGCAAAAATACCCATTTTTCCCTATGGCTTCCTATGGGAAAATCGATCCATCGCCACTTTCGTAAAAGACTTTTCCTATCATTGTCAATTAAAACCCCAACTATTATATACCATTCGATAGAGAATTTCAAGAGCTACAAAATGATATATAAAACATTAAGAAAGAAGAAGATTAACTCTCCTATTGGTAAGATAAATAAGCGGGAATCGGTTCGGTTTTTGTGCACGCTCCAATCGATCCCTGATAGGAACTCTATCTTTCGATTATAGAGGTGATAATTGAAGGTTTTCTAGTATGGAGAACTCGAATCTGTACTGCGCACTCGCCTCGAAGGCCCATTGGTTGAGCATTGACCAATAGAAATCAAGTTATAGGGAAAACGACTTTCTGAGGCTAATTTAAGCCGAAGAGTTCAAATCCGAGCTGTATACGCTTCCAAGTCCTATTGATTGAGCAGTAGCCAATGGAATTCAAGGGTTTATAGAAAGGATTTGCCAGGCAAATTTTTATATCCAGACATTCCAAGGTGACCGATTTGTCTCATTCACTTTTTGAAGTACACATACTGTCGGATATAAATCCGAGATTTCCGCATTTATTTCAATAATAAATTTAAAACAAAATCAACAATTTATATTCGATTTCGATTGAATGCACACGATGCTATAATCTGAATTAAAAGATAGAATGAAAAAACTGGAATATTTATCGAACTAGCCCTATAATATAATCAAAGATACAGACATTATAAAAACTACATAATTTATAATTACTTTCAATTGCCTTCGTACCGTCCATATAATATAAAAAACCAGAAATAAAACTAAAACAAAAAATTCGTTCTGGATTATATAAAAACGACTTCGTATCTGCATAAAAATTATTGAAATTTATCTCACATATTGTCTAATAATCACAGAAAGTAAAACGGAATATTTTGATACCATCGAATTCTGTAAGGACCAGCAGTTTTCTACTGTTGGACATAATCAGATTCTATAGGATACTGACTATTGAATATGATTAGATAGCCTAAGAACCCTATTGAATTTAATGAGCTGAGTTAGACTTAAGTAGTTTACAGTTATCATATTGATTAATAATTGTCGCGATTGTAATGCTTTCAATTATGCACCACATTGAAATTCATTGCTAATAGAAGAAGCTATAGAACAATAGCGGTCTATAGAAGCCTATATTCATATTTGCTATGCAGTAGATGGTTTTGATTTGTTTATAAGCTTATCAACTTGTCTTAGCAGTTGATATTTATATAAAAGTCGATCGAAAGGGATCATATTTTTGCGCATTTCTAACTACAGGAAAACTATATAATATGTAAATCCAACTTCGATTATCTTGAAACGCTATTGCATTGGATTGCATTCTAGACTAATGTTTTGAAATACATCCTTCTTACACA